CTGAACGTATGCAGTAGTAGTGCATGTTGTATTATCTAAATATGCATGTGAAGATATTATGTATAATGTGGACAAAAAATAATTCCAATCATAGCCTCTTGTTAACTTGTTGTTTTGGGTTTTAAGAGGTTGAAAATCTTTGCACACCGTACAATAACTGGGTTATGAACCGGATTTACAAAACATCTAAAACATTATTGGATAAGCATGTGCAGCATTTATAAATCTGATGTTATCTCTTTGAATATATACTGGAACACACTTCCTCTGGCATGTATCATAGGGTGCAACAGCACCCCTGCACCCCTACTTCTTGGAATAAACCTTTCGTACCTTCCGGTAAGATGGCGCCTGTGTACATGGCTTGCAATCCACCTCTGCTGATGGTGTTCGTATTTTTGGTGTTTTTTTCATTTCTCATCTGTGACATCAACGCTCTGCTGGTGTATGACCGAAAACAACTTTTGGATCTTCGACCTTGTGGCACCAATGTCGCTTATTTTGATCATTATGAGCGTAACTCTGGACCCCCCCCTGTCCCCCCGCTGCTGGCGGACGTGCCTGCTTACCTGCAGCGGGGCACGCACCTGCCTCCCCGGAGACGTCGCTCCAGACGCCGTGGAAAACGCGCTGGCCGGCTGGTGAAACTGAAAGCCCAGCTGGCTGCCTCTGAAACATCCTCTCCAGCTGATGGTGAGCGTTTCCACCTCCGCTCCTGGCGCTGTACAGATCCTGTGGTGCGCTGTCTGGTCCCGCTGTCGGGGTCCCATCATCACACTGGGCCCGTGCGCGGCTGGGTTTCCTGCCGGAGGCGCGCGTCTAACTCTGCAAATCTGAGGCCGCTGGACTGGACACTGCAATCATCTCCTCCTGTGGTGGATTCTACGAGGATGGCCCTGATAAATGCCAGATCACTGGCTAATAAAACTTTTATTTTGAACGACTTTTTCTGCTGCAACCGACTGGACTTTCTTTTCATCACTGAGACTTGGATCTGCCCTGGTGAGTTCAGTGTTTTTCTGGAATTACTGCCTCTGGATTGTTCTTTTTTCAATGCTCCAAGGACAACTGGTCGTGGTGGAGGATTATTGGCTGTTTTTAAGAAACATTTGCACTGCAGACAGCTCCATGGTTCAGTTAATTATTCAAGTTTTGAACTGCTCTGTTGTGAGCTGGGCCGCTCCAACCCAGTTCTGTGTGCTATTTTTTACAGACCCCCCGGATACCATAAACAGTTTTTAAATGAACTATCTGACTTTCTAACTGGTATTCTGCTCCAATATGATCGGGTTGTGATTTTAGGTGACTTTAATATCCACGTGTGCTGCCCAGATAAACCATTAGCTCAGGACTTTCTAGACCTCATCCAGTCCTTTAACTTTGTTCAGAGTGTTGTTGGTCCGACTCACCAGCAGGGCCACACTCTAGACTTAGTCTTAACACATGGTTTGTCTGTTTCTGATTTAGAAATTGGTGACACTGTTTGTTCTGACCACAAACCGGTTTTATTCAACACCTCATTGATTTGTGAACCTGCACCTCCCCCCACACCCAAGCCCTGTAGGATTTTTAACCCTTCCACCGCCAAACTCTTCTCTTCCATCTTTGCTGGTAATTCTGTTTCAGACTCTGAACTCTCTTCGGGTCTTACTACAAAGGAGTTGCTTTCTCAGCATCAGGAGGCGTGTGTACAGATCCTGGACTCAGTCGCCCCGTTAAAGCTCAGGAATCGAAAACGCATGCCCCACCCTTGGGTAAATGAGACCACAAGAGAGGCAAGACGCTTGTGCAGAAGAGCTGAACGTCGATGGAAAAAAGATAAACTTCAGGTGTCTTTTGAGATGTTAAAAACATGTTGGAAAGCCTATCAGACCACCGTTAAACAGGAGAAAAACAAATATTTCTCAAACATTATCAACTTAAACAGTCACAACCCCCGCGTTCTTTTCAGCACCATTAACACCATTCTAAATGTGCCTCAGTCTGCCACCATTGAGGCCTCTGTCGACACCTGTAATAAGTTTGTCAGGCATTTTGCTGAAAAGGTGGAGTCGATCAGGTCATCAATTCCACACTCCGCAGCCGACCCTTCAGTTCTTGTCCCCTGCTCAGCAGTCTTCAGTCACTTTGACCCCATCTCACTCTCATTTTTAAATGAGGTTGTTGATCACATGAAGCCCTCAGGCTCCCCTGCTGATCCCATCCCTGCTGCATTTTTTAAACAGGTTCTACCGTCAACTGGACCCTCTGTTCTTGCCATTATTAACAGCAGTTTGGCTACAGGTGTGGTCCCCGATGTTTTAAAACATGCAGTGGTAACTCCATTAATTAAAAAACCCGGACTCGACCCTGCAGCTTGTTCTAACTTCCGGCCAATCTCAAAACTTCCATTTATTTCTAAAATCTTGGAGAAAATAGTTTTTAGTCAACTAACCAAGTTTTTGAATGTAAATGGAATTTTTGAGATTTTTCAGTCAGGATTTAAACAACTGCACAGCACCGAGACAGCTTTAGTAAGGGTCTGTAATGACATTCTGCTAGCGAATGACTCTGGTCAGTCTGTGATCCTGGTACTCCTCGACCTTACCGCTGCATTTGACACTGTTGATCACAGCATCCTTATGTCACGGCTAGAACACTGGGTTGGGATTACAGGGGTGGCGCTAGAATGGTTCCGTTCTTATCTGGGTGACAGGAGTTTTTGTGTTAACTTTGGCAATCATTTATCTGCTTCTGTCCCTCTTTCCTGTGGGGTCCCACAAGGCTCCATTCTTGGACCCCTTCTGTTCTCATTGTATCTGCTCCCCTTGGGGTCAATCCTGAGGAAACATGGTATTTCGTTTCACTGTTACGCCGATGACTCTCAGATCTATCTACCTTTAAAACCAAACAGTTCTTGCTCCATCCTCCCTTTGCTAAAATGTCTTGATGATATCAAGACTTGGATGGCTGCAAACTTCTTGAGCTTTAATGATCAGAAGACTGAGGTCATTGTGTTTAACCCAAGCTCTGCCACTGTCACTGATCCTGTAAACCTGCACTCCCTTCAGCCTCATCTAAAGCAGTCAGTTACCAATCTCGGGGTAGTGTTAGACTCGGACTTTAAGTTTAATAAACAGATCAACTCTGTTCTACAAAAGAGCTTCTTTCAGCTAAGGCAGATAGCAAAGCTAAAGTCCGTTCTGTCCAGATTCGACCTTGAAAAACTAGTCCATGCATTTATTACAACCCGGCTGGACTACTGTAACTCACTTTATGTTGGGGTTAGTCAGGCTTCACTCTCACGTCTCCAGCTCGTACAAAATGCTGCAGCTCGGCTTTTAACAGGAACTCACAGGTTTGAGCACATTACTCCGGTTCTATCCTCTCTTCACTGGCTTCCTGTACGTGTCAGAGTTGATTTTAAAATTCTCCTGCTGACATTCAAGTGCATTAACGGCCTTGCACCATCATACCTCTCCGACCTTCTTCTTCCTTATACTCCTTCTCGGGCTTTGAGATCATCAGACCAGCTGCTTTTGGCCGTACCAAAAACCAGGCTGAAGCTCAGAGGAGATCGAGCTTTCTCAGTCGTGGGCCCTAAACTCTGGAACAATCTGCCCATCAACATTCGACAGGCCACCTCAGTCTCTGCCTTTAAATCTCTCCTAAAAACACATCTATACTCATTGACATTTAACACAGGGTGGTCAGCTTTAGATCTGGTTTTTCATTGATGCTGATTCTGTTTATGCTTTTGTTATTATTCCTATTTAACACAAGGTCATCTGATCTGATTTAGTATTTCATTGTTTCAGACTGAGTTTATGCTTTTTGTTATTATTTCCTTGACTTTTGACACAACGTGATCTGATTTAGTATTTCATTGTTTCTAATTGTTTTTGGTTTTATATTTTTATTCCATGTGCTGTAAATATATCTTGCTACTTTTTATCTGATGATGTGATATTTTTGTTAAGCACTTTGGTAACAGTTTCTGTTTTAAATGTGCTCTATAAATAAATCTGACTTGACTTGACTTGAAGAACAGCATCCTGGCCACAGTCATTTTTAATTCCAAGTTTTAAAATAATGCATCACCATGGTCATTTAATAATCTAGTCGTTTAGATTTTTATTTTTTAATTTAAAGGAATTTTTAACCAAACAACAAAAATCAAAATGTCAAGCTCAAAATGTGCTTTAATCTAAAATGAAAAGATCCTTTCAATGTTTTACAAACACCTGAACTGATTTTACTTGCAGTAAATGTGAAAAATGCCCCAAATGTTTGTTTAATCTCTGAGTAACTGTGAAGTCCTTAGATAACATATTAATTTAATTTTACCAAATAAGACAGGTCAATGTAACATTATAAGAGAAAGACAATAAATCTTCCAAATACAATTTTAGCTTTAGCCATCTGTTTGTCTGCAGGACTGTGATTTCAGAGTCAGAGTTTCTTTATTTGTCATTCGCACGGTCGAGCGAAATTATGTACACAGGGTCCCAGTTACGTCCAACAATAAAATGTAAAAGAAAAACAGTAATAAGAGCCAAGATACGAACTAATAAAAACATTAACTAAAAATATGCTAAGCACTAATAGCATAAAAATAATACACAGAACAGCAGCACAATTTAGTCCTGCAGTTTTCGATCTGACAACAAATAGCTAAAAGAATGCTCATAGGGGAGTAAATAACTAACATTAGCCAAACCTCATTGCATCCTGGGTTATCCACGAGCTGGTGTGTGCTTGCATGAAGCGGCTGAGCAGCATTCACCGGGTTCAGGACCACTTTGTCTCCAATCACCACCTGAAACCACAAAAATACATCAAGAGTTGGATTATGAAACAACGAACAGTGGGTTGAAGAGTTACTTAAGAAGGTAAATCAGGACTATAATGTCTCATTGAGACATTTCTCTGTCATTTTTAATAAAACTATTATGACCCCTATTCTTAAATTCTAATTAAATGTTTTTATTTGTCATGTTCACCGCTCTCAGCCACCTGCCATGCCCACTTCCACGTCGCTAATCAGCGATCATGCCTTACACCTGCTGCACGCACTATTTAAGAGTCCCTTCCACATCAAGTCTCTGCCAGATTATCAAACCCTTTATGGTACTAGATGTCCAGCACTTCATTCACGTTCATGTCAGATTCTCTTGTCTTGATTCCACACCTGTCTTATGGATTTACCGCTCTGCCTGCTCCTCATCTGATCTTGTTCTGCCCTTCTGATCCTGGTAACAACTACTCTTTCTGATCTACTGATACTGGATTAAGGATAAACCTCTGGATTTGGTTTTGGACCTCTGACTCCCCGTGCTTGACCCCAGCTTCGTCTTTCAGACCACGATCTTGGGTTGCACCACTGTCCATATTAACCACAGCGTTGAAAGCTTTGCTCCGCAGCTGCTCTCCCACGTTACAGTGACGTCATCTCACCAAGTTCCAACAGATGGCTCCCACTTCATCTGCATGAGAAGGTTGGTTCTGTTCCGTTTACAAATAAACTTCCTGAAACATACAGTGCACTAACTATTATATGTCTGCAGATTTGTTCCCACAACTGGATCCTGTCTCACACCAGCAGCTTCAAAAACAATAAATTGTTTAACTATTCTTGTAGTCTGGTTGAATTATCAAATCCAAAAACCTGATCCTTGTCAGTGTAGTTAATAATGGGTTTATTTGATTTAGCCAGTAGGTAACTGTCATTAGTAAAAAATCTTAAATGTATAAAGGTACAAAAGGCGTTTGCAAGTCATTGTCTTGGTTGCAGTTTTGAAATGGCTTCAGTTTTTTCTTCATTTGAAACTTGCTGCTAAAACTGACTTTAAAATGAGTTAACAGTTCTTCTTCTGGAGCTTTTTGAACAATTAAAATAAACATCTGCCCAAGACATTATGATCAAAAGCCTCAAATTAAGTATTAAAACAGTATACAAGACCCAATTCATAAACCAGAGGACTGAAACTAAATACAGTTTTAATTAATTACTTTCAAATTAATAAAATGCAACTGCAGTACTGTATATAGTGTCCCTATGATTCTGGATGATGTCTTCAAATATCATCTGCTCCCTGACTGATAGCTCCAACACCAGTCACTTCAGTTATGACAAAGAAAAGCAGAAAATATTCATATTTGAGAGGTTGGAAGTACACACTCTGATTTTTGAGTTTATAAAAAGTTTTTAAATAAGAAAAATAGCCAAAAGTTATTATTTGAAACTATTAAGAAGTTGTAAATATAGTTTGCTCTTTGTTAGTTTGAGCTAAAATACAACTATGGTAATTTATCAATGAAGCACGAGCCAGAATTTTAGAAAGCTTTTAAAAATAAGGATGATGGTGTCACCTTTCTTTCACATGGTGTAAAAATGAGGGATGCATGATTATTGGATTTCTGGCCAATATCCGATATGCCGATATGTTAAAACTTATTTGGCCGATAATCGATACCAATAGTGATATTTTTTCCCTAGACCTACTTAGAGACTACTCTGCTGTGAAATTAAAATATTATATTACTCTGCATGGTTTTTGTCAATTTGGCCTGCTACCAAATGCAGATGCCAAAAAGGGGGCTGAAAATGAT